TTCTATAACACTCCTCGTTTATCAAGCCTTGTTTTCAAACTCTCAATGGTTCACTTCTGACCATCATGAGTATGAGGGGAAGCGTGAAATTTTATATACTTTCTTTATTCACTTTATAGATAGGATAATATTTCCTTGATCAAACTTGTTGTATTAGGATATTTTTTCTTACCTTTTTTGTATATCATACAAGCAATATAATTTTCTTTCCTATTTTGTATGTCATCTCTATATACATATATAGGATTTTCTCACACAAGTTCAATACAGAAAAATAGAAGTACAGTATTTTCACATAATACAAGGGCTGGGTTTCTCTATCTTTATCAAAGAACTAGGGTTTATCTCTGTTTTCCTTTATTATGCATTGTGGCACACATGCAAAGGCCCTTACCCTTCTCCCTATGATGAGGGAAGTCCCCTCTCCCACTAATGAACACACTCTCTCTGTCTTTTCCTATCTTTTTCACTATTATCAAGTAAAATAGATTGGTCTAGGAAGGGTGAGATATTAAACTTTTCCTTAACCCGTCTTAAGCCTGGGTAAAGGAGATGGATTGTGTTCGATAAACAACCATCATAAAATTTTACCAAAATGTTTCACGAAATCAATTAAAATAGATAAAGCCAAAGAAAATAGAACAGTCAACTCATTAACAAAGAAGCATATGATCAATTGGCCATGAGGTCACACATAAGTGAGACAGTGCCCTGCAAATTTTGTTTATTCATGATGCCGTAAAAAAGATGTAGACCAAAGGAAAACCAACATGCTTATTTATTTTAAGAATTTGGTGTTCCTTATTGGGAGTTGGGGCAAAAGGGCAAACATTCTTCCCTGCTTATGAAGCATATCGCACCAATTGCAATTAAATGTATTCGGAAAACATCTCCCACTCCTTCAACACCATTTCTCTCTCCCTGAATGGCTCGACACCTGCCTAACTTCACCTCTGCAAAGCCAATAGCCATCAATGTGAATAATCCCATGTCAATGCATTTTTATTTTTCTTTTTCTTTTTTTGGGCTGGATCAAAGCAATTAGAATTTGAACACAATTTGAAAGAAGCACAAACGCCAGTATATTTGAGTTTTCTAGGAATGATGGATTTTTATCTCATTAAAAGGATGGCATCAATCAAATTATCAATTTGTCAAAGGTAAGAGAGATGGGAGCGGCACATTAGACCATATGAAACCAGGACTTGGGAGCTTTATGCATAGCACAGGTCTTTAAAATCTTAAAGTTTAGAAAAATGGGATTTGTGTGTAAGGAGCCCGTAAATACGAAATTTACCTTTAGTCCATAAGTTCAGTAATTTTACAGTGAGGTCTTACTGTACCCACTTCTCTCTCTTTTTTGACAATGTACTCTACCCACTTTGTATTTTTCTCAATTTGATCATATGTCTGATGTTTCAAATATCTAACTACTTAAAAAAAATAGAATTTTTTGAATTTGCGGGCCAAACATTAAATTCGTTGATTTTACTATGAGGTCTTTCTCCACCCATTTACAGACCAAAAGTTAAATTCGGTGATTTTACCTTGTTCTTACATAAAAACCCTAAAAACATTGATGAGCTAGTAGGCTAATATCAATATTTTTCGTGTATATATATATATATATATATTTATAATCTTCATCCAAATGTTTGTGGCTATATATATATAATCTTCATCCAAATGTTTGTGGCTATAAAGATTCTGGGCCTAAGAAACATAGTCCCTCCACTAAATAAAAGTCCTTTTTGGTATGATATTTTTTTGGTCTTTTCCCCACCCCTTCTTTGAGAGACAAAATGAAATTCCAATTACGATTCCAAAGATACCCAACAACATAATGTATTGAATACATATATTCATCACAATATGAATATGATGGAAAACTAGGGAATATCCAAGTTTCTAAAATAATGCCATACACGGCATGTTAAAGGAAAACAAAAATGCAAATGCCATTACCAATGCTAGTGCTAAGCCCATATATTGACCAAATGGTTTTACCCAGTGACAAAACAATCCAATATTTTCAACCACAGTTGGAAAGCTGGTTGTAACATTTATTGTTACATAAAAATCCAATATCTTCAACCGCAGTTGGAAAGCTGGTTGTAATATTGATTGTTACATAATTTTTCTTTTAAGAGTGAATTACGTACAAGCTTTTAACTTTAGGTAAAATACAAATGCTCCACTTATAGGCATAAATTACAAAGAAGGTTGATCAACCTAATGTTTTTTTTTTTTTCAAAATCGTCCCCCAATCAACCCAAATTTTGAATTTTTTTGTAGCTTTTTATTTTTTTTGTTAATATGGCAGTGCCTTAAAGCTTGGGACATTGTCCTATTAACAAAAAACTAAAAAAAAAGTCAAAACTCAAGTTGACCGAGAGACGATTATAAAAAAAAACAAAAAAAAAAATAGGTTAACCAACCTTTGTAATTTCTGTATATCAGCAAATTACTTTGTATTTTACCTTAAACTTTAAGGTCGTATGTAAATCACTCTTCTTTTGATAAAACAGGTAGGAGTCGACATCCCCACTTACTCACCCAAAAAATATATTAATTGTTACCAAAGACAAAAGTCAGTAAATAAAAAAAATTGGTTGAATCCTCCCTCTCAATTATGCAAGATAGGGGTGGTATTGGCCATACGGTTTGGCCAGATCTGGCTTGGATAAGTACAAGGCCCAGCCGCCTATTAAGTAGTTGTGAGGTCCACCAGAACTTGGATGGGCCTTGTTAGGGTATGCCGACGCCATCACAAGGGTAGTCCAAGCCAAGGCCAGCTGTGGCCCAAGCAGGGCAATTTTTTAGCCTTAGCCGGGGTGGAGGCTCTTGGACCCACCTCAAATGGAGCCCGCGCCAAGGCTATGGCCGACAGAGCCCCACTCTCGATCCATTGCAACCCCTAATCAAGAAACCAGCACATGCCATGATCTCTCTAGTTGTGGTGGTTCAATAATATTATTGCAGTGAAGTCGGCATTTCAATTTCCAATACTCGAGAAGCTATAGAACCAACTTGCTTCTTGGCTTTCATGGATGAGACTGAGAGAGCGCGACAATTTTCCTTATTCGAGACGCCATTGAAGCAACTTGCTTCTTGGCTTTCATGGATGGGACAGAGAGAAAAAGAGGCGGACGTAACACCGTACTCTATCTGCTCCATGAACGGACACAATCACAATAAATAATGTCTGTCCCACCCCCTTCATCTTGTCTACAAGACAAACCATCCAAAGTGTAAGTTTCAATCAACGAAATAGAAAAGGAGGAGAGAGAAGAATAAAAAAGACATGCAATGGTGTCCACGTCCGCTTAGGGTAAATCAGTATCTCCTTCATAAGAATTATTGTGGTTTATCAATGATTTATAAAGTTACATCTCTTGTTTTTTAGAAATCAAATCTCATTACAATAATAATAACCAGGGTTTAAAAAAATACCGAGTCAAGCCGGATTCGCCCAGCTCGATTCAAGAATCACCACAAAACGATCCGGCTCGATTCGGGAATCGCCACAGAACGAGCCGATTCCACACATAAAACGGGAACCGCCCGTGTCTAAAGAGAACCAAGCAGTTTTAAACGATTTTAAACAGTAAATCGCCCGATGACATCATCAACCGACAGTTCTGACGTCACCACTCCGATTCTACAAACACGTGCAGACGTCACCACTCCGAACTGCCCGTGTCTAGAGAGAACCGGGCGGTTTTAAACGATTTTAAACAGTAAACCGCTCGATGATATCATCAACCGGCGGTTCTGATGTCACCACTCTGATTTTACAAATACATGTAGACATCACCACTCCGACACGGACACATGCGACAAAATCACGTACCACATATCACGTGTGAGGTTGCCCCAATGTTTCCGCGCGCATGCCTTATTTCATATTACATAGGTATTTATATAGCAAAGTTGAATACCTATCCTTCGATGTGAGATACTTCCCAAACTTCATTAAATGAAAACGGAATGTAAATATATTCTATTAATCAGCAACTTATAATCACATGCGGCAAGGTGCGATGGTTATGACATTTGCTATTTCTTTTGATATCCCAAGGTCCAATCCCCTTGGGCGTTACATTTTTGTTGTATATAGTGGTATAAATATTTTTGTAAATAATATAAAAGACATAAAAATAATGAAAAATAAAAAAGTTAATTTTTTGTATAGCATTTAATTTTTGTTGTATATAGTGGTATAATTATTTTTGTAAATAATGTGAAAGGCATAAAAAAATAAAAAAACAAATCATGTAATGTACGCATTTTATTAATTTTTACATTGATAACCAAATCTTTTAGTTTATTTATTAATTTTTACATTATAAATCATGTAATGTACTATTTTTCTTACAGTTGTCAATAATACATTTTAAATTAGATAATATTATAAAATAATTTTAATTTATTATTATAATAAAATAATTATAAAATGTAAACTAATAATTATAATTTCAGTATATAATATTATAATTAGTTAGGTTGTAATAATTTTAAATTATAGTTAGTTAGGCTGTAATAATTTTTTAGCGGAGTAGGGCTTTTCGCCAAAACGAGATTTTAATGGCCATTCTTTCATTGATTTAGTCTACTCTTTATAATAGTCCATGTATAATTATATATTTTATCCATGATAATTCTATGATTTTCTTTTATGTGATGCAAATTTAATGGTTAACATAAGTTTATACAGGAAAAGAGCATCTCAATATTCCCAAATTGATGAAAAAAATGAAAGTTAATAATGTAGTACCCTCATTTCTTATTGAATTCCTAAAATATAATATCTATAACGAATTTTAATACTTTTTTTGAAATATTTTTAAAGCTTAATCAGACCGATTCAGCCGATTCTAGATCCGGATCACAGATTCACCGATCCAAATAGGTTTTTGAGATGCCTGATCCAAATCACCGATCCGCTTTTTAAACCACTGATAATAACTATCGATACAAAGGATTAACGGAGAGAACCAATGGAACACTTGCTCCGAATCTCTTCCTTCTTTCTACTACTGGTAAGTAAGCATAATCTGATTGCTTCTCTTTGCCCCATTTAGTCAATCCTTCTATTTCTCTCTTATTGGCCCCTTTCTCTCTAAACTCGATGCTCATGTCATTGCAGGTGGTTGCTGGTGGCCATGCAGCGGTGTCATCGGAAGAGTATTGGCACAGGGTAGTTCCAACCACTAAAATCCCTGAAGTTATTCGCCAGTCTCTTTACCCCTCCGCCGGTACCCAACCCTTCCCCATTCTCCATCCCAATTATCTTCTCTCCCTCTCTCTGATTTTTTTGGTAGTTCAGCACTTAAAGACTAAACCCGATTCAGCCCCACCCATCTTTCTCTCCTTTTTCTTTTTTAAAGCGGTCATAACATTTTCTCTTTCTCCTTCCTTTTTCTTTTTAAAAATGGTCAAAATATATTTAATAAAAAAAAATTATAGAATGAGACCATTTACTTCGGTACAAAGCGATCAGAGATTAATCTTGACCATTGAATGTGAAATTAGGCGGCTCCATCTATTCCGTCGACCAAACTCAAATTTCAAAAGAATTTTGTACCAAAGATAAATGTTCTCATTGTGGATTTTTCCTTGTGAATAATTTTACTGGCCATCAAATCAAAGTGCTTAACTCCTAAATTATTTAAAAAAATGGATAAGGACTTGTCTTCCCCGTTGAATCATCCAAGAAAAAAAAAACTTTGACTCATTATATTGGGTGTACCATCACTACTTAGAAAAGGACGGTGAGTCGTGAACTTCAACCGTCCCATGCATGGCAAGCTAAGGATGTTTCTGCGAACAAACATAATATAAAACATACTGTAAAGTGCACCTCAAATACCCTTGGACTTAATTTTATGAGCACAGCAGAAGAAAATGTTTTTATGTAATTGCATTCTCTCTCTTTTCTATTCTTCAACTAGACTAAAAATCTAGTATTTCTCTCGATGCAAGCATACACTTGAATGTAATTTGATATTATTTTGAAGTAACCCCAAATACTTTTGAAACTAAAAATACTAACAAATAACATTTGTTTCTCTCTATGTTCAGCGAGCGCCATAGGCAAGAACGGGAAGAAATCGGGGGTAGCGTTCATAAATCGCGCGGGAAACAACAATGGCTATGGCCAGAACAACGATGGCTACGGCGGCGCCATGGAGGACCAGGTGCACGACCTCCCAAACATGGCTCTCTTCTCCTCGGAAAAGGACCTCAAACCCGGCAACCACTTCACCTTCGACTTTGGCACCAAAGATGCCCAACAGCCCATGCCCACCTTCTTGCCTCGGCGCGTGGCCGACACATTGCCCTTCTCATCGTCGAAGTGGCCTGAAATTCTCGCTCACTTCTCAGTGTGGCCCAGCTTGGTGGAGGCCAAGGCTATGAAGCGGACACTCACCGAGTGCGAGGAGCGCCCAATCAATGGTGAGGTGAAGCACTGCACCACCTCCCTCGAGTCCATGATCGACTTCTCCACCGCCTGTCTCGAAAAGGCAGTACAGATAGTGGCCACCACCACCACCACCACCACCACCACCACAACCAAAACCAAAGCAGCAAACCTTAGACAACCAAAGAAATACGCAGTAGGTAGCGCTGTCCACCAGGTGGTGGCGCCCAAATCGGTGGCGTGCCATGCCCAGTGCTATGCCTACGCTGTGTTCTATTGCCATGAGTTCACCACCACCCGTTTGTACAAGGTGCCTCTCCTAAGTGAAGATGGAAGCACCAAGGTGGAGGCGGTGGCCGTGTGTCACTTCGACACTTCTGCCTGGAACCCGAACCACGTTGCATCAAAGTGCTCAAGGTCAAGCCTGGGTCCGAGCCGGTGTGCCACTTCCTGGCCCATGATAACCTCGTCTGGGTCCCTATCCCATGAAACAAGAAGCATGCACAAAACTTTACCATATCATCACTGTTATACACCACCTTGGTCCATTGGCTTTGAGCATCTGGTAAATGGCTGCATTCGTGGTTGATTTCAGGTTTTATTTTTCTTTTTTACTCATCTTTTCATTTGTTGTGGTTGATTTCAGGTTTTATTTTTCTTTTCTACTCATCTTTTCAGTTGTTTGTGCGGCTGCAAAATGTAATGAGTGTATAATATGACGTTTCGTGGCCTTGATTCTAAATACTCCATGATCCATAGTGGGCTTTCTTTCTTGTCAGCAATAAGGCTTTACACCGTAGAAGTAAGGCACACATTTAAATTTTTCCTAGAGATGTAATTCTAGTGTCAGAAACTCTAGCATGGCTTGAAAATATATTTTCATCCAAGTGATGAAATTAAAAATTTTAAAAATGGTATGAATTGAGTAGATCTATAAACACTAAAAAAACTAAAAAAAAGATGGTCGAGAAAATATGTTAAAATATGTATTATTTTTAGGATTTGAAATTCTTCCTTTCTTCATATCTTTATGTCTCAAGGTTGAGCACTCTCTTTTAGGGCGTGTTTATTTATCTGAAAGTATCTTTCAGAAAGATTTTTAAAAAGTTATGCATTTGTTTCACACTTTCCATCTAAAGTTCGGAAACTAATGTTTCAACAAAAGTTCTCATTCCTTTATTAAAAAGTAAAAGAATAAGTTCATAGGGGTAGGAACTTAATCTTTCATAACCTTTTTTTGCTGATCTCTATTCACTATGCATGATATAAATACATAATTATTAGTATTATTAATATGATATGATATAATATTAGTATAACATAATATTATATATGTAAAAAATATAATATAAATATATAGTCATATTATATATTTAATATAATATAAAATAAATATATTATATATAAATATAT